TGGTTCACACCCCCCCCCCCCCCGGGTAATCACCCCGTTCAAGGGGCCTTGTCAACTTCCCCACACGCGCCCCTTGTGATCGCCTCATATACACGTCGCCCTGTTGTAATGCCCACCCCTACCCCCCACCCCCTGGCAGATGGATGTGCATCCACCGCCTGATGGCGCTGGATCAGTACGTTCACGGCGACAGCCGCGGTACGCCCGCCACCGGTACCGCCGGCACCGCTGAAGCAGCCGGCGACACGGGCGACGCACCGCCGCAGCAGGAGCAGCAGGGGCAGCAGCAGCAGCAGCGGGAGGAGGAGGCGCAGCAGCCGGAGCGGCAGGCGCAGCAGCAGCAGGAGCAGCAGCAGCAGGAGCAGCCCGCGCCGCGCCCGGCGCCGGCGCTTCCTATGTCCCGGTGGGAGGAGGTGGACGAGGAGGAGGACCGGCAGCAGCAGCCGGCGGTGCCGATTAGTAAGTGGCTGGCGGCGGAGCAGGAGGCGGCGGCGGCGCGGGAGGCGGCGGAGGCGGAGGCGGCGGCCGCCGCGGCGGCGCGGGAGCTGGAGGCGGCGCTTGAGCGGGAGCAGCGGGAGGAGGCGGAGCGGCGCGCGGCGGCGGAGCGCGAGGCGGCGGCGGCGGGCGCGGCGGCGGAGGAGGAGCGGCGGCGGCGGATGCGGAAGGTGGGCGGGCGGGGCGCCCGGCCTTGCTGGCGGGGCGCTGCCGTGGTTGGACGTGTGCTTTTTGGGGGTGTCGTGTCGTATGGGTTTAGGGTTCAGGGTTGCACCGGGGCGCCCTCGGCCTCCCGCAGGGGCCGGCATTGCAAAGCGCGGGTTTCAGCATGCGCACACACTCGGGCGCCGCGACGTGAGGGCCCGGCGGCACGCGAGCCCGGCCGCACTCACCCATACGTATGCATCCCCGAAGGACCGTTTCCCCGCTTGGTCCTTTGGATATTCCCTAATTTCGTTTGTTCAAACCACGGCGCTTCGAATTCCGACATCCCATTCCACCACCCGCCAGATCGAGGGGGAGCTGCTGGTTCTGAGGGAGCAGCTGGAAGAGGAGGGGGCGCCCCCAGATCTCGTGGAACAGAGGATCGCGGCCGCCAGATCCGACCTCCTCGCCCGGCTGGAGCTGCAGGAGCAGCAGCAGCAGGAGGCGGAGCAGCAGCAGCAGCAGCAGCAGCAGCCGGAGGAAGGCGCTCAGCAGCAGCGGGCAGACAACGGCAGGAGCGCTGGCAGCGTTCGGGAGCGGGGGCACGAATCGCTCAGGCGGGGCGACGGCAGCCGCGAGCAGCAGCGAGAGGAGCGGGGCGGCAGGGGGCGCAGCCGCAGCCGAAGCCGCAGCAGGGGGGCGGCCTCGGAAAAGAGGGGCGAGCGCGAGTCGCAGCCCGGGGGCGGCGGCGCCCTGCGACGAGGCAGCGACCGGGGCCGCGAGCGCCGCAGCCGGAGCCGCAGCCGCAGCCGCGACCGACGGAAGCGCAGCCGCAGCCGCGACGAACGGGATCGGCGGCGCCGCGGCGGCAGCAGGAGCCGCAGCAGGAGCAGGAGCAAGGAGCGGCGCGGGGGCCGCAGCAGGAGCAGGAGCAGGAGTAGGGACAGGGGGCGGCTCAGCAGGCGGGAGAGCAGCGGGGGCGGCGGCAAGCGGCACCGCGCGTGACGTTCTGTCGCAAGCCCAGTCGTTTATTGCGTCTGGCAGGGGCGGGGCGGACGGCGGCTTCGGCTGCCCGCGTGCTTTGGGTGCGAAAGTTAGCAGCTGCGTCGACTCCGCCCCCTGTAACGGTCGCCCAGAGGTGCTTTTCTGCTGTGCGAGGATTCAAAAAGGTGCACGGCGGTTGCGGTTTCTCAGGGGGTGCTTGTGGCCTGTGGGGTCCCACAGGGATGTCAAATGCTGAAAGGCCGCTGTTCTTGCAAACATAAGTGAAAAGGGCGCGTGGGTTGCACGGTAGGCCTGGCTGCATCCAGTTCATCAGTCATCCTCACAGGACACGCAGCACCTTCCGACCTGCCTACCGCGGCATGACGAGCGCGGTTGACATCACCCTAAGTAAATTGTAAAACTTTCTCACGAATTACGAGATTCATCCGCTTTGGCGCTTTGGTCGTTGTTGTCCCGGAGTCCCGGTAGGACTGGAAGTTTTCGTTGTTGTCCCACTCAACGGAATTCGATGTTGCGAATGAAACAACAGTCGAATCAAATTCTCAAATACTTCTCTCGTTTCTTTGATACCGAGGGTGCAGGCGGACGCTTTTGGCAGGGGCGAGACGTGCCAGTTGCGTGTCAGTCCAAGGTGCACCGCTCATCCCATGCACATTCACACCCTCCGGAAAGTCAGAAGCCTGTAGCACTGTGACATAAGCCAGGCGAACGCTTGGCTACGTGCGGCAACCAACATTCACGTATACGGTACCCGATTGATCTGGCGCGACTGTGGTTCAGGTGGTGATGGAGGGCCCCAAGCATTACCCCGACAGCGTGTATTGCGCCCGCATGAACAAGCTTCAGAGCCTCTTCGACCGCTCGATGGCGATTATGGCGGCGTTGCTGCCAATCGCCCTGGAAAGCGGGAAGGTTTCTCCCGAATTGGCTTCGCAGCTGCGAGCGCTGGACCCAGGTGAGTATTACAGGCCCAAGTCATGATATACCTGGTGATCAAGAGGATTACTAGTGTGCTTTGATGATTCCGCGCGCGCACCCGATCAAGCGAGCGGCGTGCGAACGCGTCAACGCTCGCACTGTTGGCAGTCCGCGTCAGCAGAGCGGGATGGCGGGGTCGGCAGCAGCAGCCCTTGGCCGGCTCACCCACACAGGCGCCTTTTTGCGTTGCAATATTCAAACCCCAGAAGAGCTGTTCCGCATGTGGCGGGTGCTGCGGGCCCACGTGCAGCAGCGCCAGGAGCAGCAGATGGGCGCGCTGCAGCAGCGGCAGCAGGAGCAGCAGCGGCAGCTGGCGGAGCTGCTGCGGCAGCAGCGGGCGCTCGAGGCCCGCGAGACGGCGGTCGACCAGCAGGCGGAGCAGCAGCAGCAGCAGCAGCAGCAGCAGCAGCAGCAGCAGCAGCAGCAGCAGCAGCAGCAGCAGCAGCAGCAGCAGCAGCCGCCCGCTCCTGAGTCATGTGTCAACCAGGCCGCTAGAAGTGACCCATATCGAGCGGGTACGGAGAAGGAGCAGGAGGAATGTGGCAGCGTCGCCGCGGTGGAAGCTGACGCGATGCCCGGTGTGCAGGCGGGCGCCGCGGCGCGGGCTGGAGAGCGCGTGCATGGGCGGCGGCCTGGGCTGCAGCCGCTGCCGGCAATTGTTGGGCAGCGGGGACAGACCCGCTGCCCACAGGCGCCGCAGCTGCCTGAGCCGGCGGCGGCGCCGCTCAAGCCGCCGGCGGGTGGACGAGAGGCAGAAGGGATTGCGGCGATGGATTCATGGCAGTGCGAACAAAGCCACGCGTCGTGGCAGCAGCTGGAGCTGCAGCAGGAGGTGGAGCAAAAGCAGCAGGAGGAGCAGCAGCAGCAGCAGCAGCAGCAGCAGCAGCAGCAGCAGCAGCAGCAGCAGCAGCAGCAGCAGCAGCGCAGGGATGATCTGGAAACGCGCGCAATGCCGCCGCCCCGGGCCTTGTTGCGACTGCGCGGCCGGGCGCCCGGCGCCACGCAGCCGCTAGCGGCGGGCTCGCCCTTGGCATGCGGCGAGGCCCCGGTTTTTGGCAGCTTAAGCGGCGGGGGCGGCGGTGGTGGCGGGAGCAGCGGCGGCGCGCGCAAAAGACCGAGGGAAGGCGGCCTGGAAAGGGCGCCGCCCTTCGACGACCTCCTGCCACTGCCGCCCCCGCTGCTGCTGACAACGCCGCCGACGGGGGATGCATTCCTGGATTTGCGGCCGCCCGCGCCAGCCGTCGCGGGGGCGCGTGCGGGCGGCGGCCCCGGCGGCGGCCGCGACGGCGGTAGGGGCGGCGGCGGCGACGGCGCTGACGTGGCGCGCCTGCTGTCAACGTCGGCGTCGGCTCCGAGGCAGCAGGTGCCCATGGCGCTGGCCGCGCTCGCCGCTGCAGTGGCGCGCCTGCCCTGAGGTTTGCGTGCAGACAGGGCATGCCTTGGATGCTCATGCAAGCAAGCCCTGTGGCGGCCAGGGAAGTGACACGGTTGTTGGACCATCTACGTTGAGCGTCGGCTGTTCGGCGGCGTGGCGCGACAAATACGTGTAGTCAGTCAGTCAGACAAACAGGGAGGCGGGCGTGCAGGCGCCCACCACATACGTTGACCGGCGCCGCCAGCCCGCAATGCCGATGTTTGGAGTTTCTACAAAGGTCTCCTGCTTGCATGTCAGAGTCGGCCTTCCACAAACGACCACAAGCACACCCACCGCCCTGTGTTTCTCAGTTTCAGGTCAACCGCCACGCGTACCTGCCACCCAACACACCGGCCCCACCCCATACATTGATGTGTCGGGATATACTTGCCCAGCGTGACCCTGCACTGTTTGCGCACCGCCTGAGGCTCTTCCATCCGTCTCTTTTCAATATACCACATTCGCCGCAGCGAGCGAGCGGACCACCCACCCCACACGCACACTTCCCGTCGACCCTTTCCCCGCTTGCTTGCCACGCACTGCGGCTCGCCCCGCTCTCCCGGCCGACACGCACGGCACACAGCTTCCTTTGCGCCGGTTGGCACGCGCCGCCTGCACCGCGCAGCAGAACAAACAGGTCGGCTGTACAAGCCGAACGCCAATGACAAATGGGGGAAAAAGAGGGGATTCGCTTGTAGCGAGCAAGCAAGTCCTTTAGCACATACAGCATCTGTTTTGCGCGCCAACACAACCCCTGAACCTGCCCCGCAACAATGCCGGCGCGCGGTGCCTTCGTTGCAACAGCCCGGTTGTGGTGGTTGATGCGCCACCACCATAAGCACCCGGCGAAGCCACGCCCATCCTGATACCCCACTTCGGCTGAGGTCAGGCACGACTGCGCGACCCGCGCCGGCAGCAGGGCGCCTGCGGGCCTGCCAGCCACCCCTGCATTCCACAAGTGTGTAGTAGGCGATGCCCGGGATCCCGGGGCGCGGGGACGAAAAAACACAGCCCGGGCGACCCCAAACCGCAGCCGCGCGCTGGGCAGCAGCTGGGCGGATTGCAGCCCCCGTATGCTGCGCGCGTGCGGACTGCTTTGCTGCAGTCTTCCTCACTCGGGGGGCTTTCCATAGCTGTTGACAGGGTGGATGTTACGAGGCCAATCAGGAGATTGTGAATCCTTCAGATGCAGTCGACACACACCTTTTGCCTTGCCTGCCAACAAGGTTGCTAGGCCCATTGGGTTGCAAGCAGCTTTGAATCAAGTTGGTGAAGCTTGTAACTCCACAACACAATATGAATTGGCGCCCCCTGTCCCCCTTTCACTGGCGCACAAGTGCGAAAGCTTGATCTGATGCATCTGGGCGGTGCGTTACACTGATGCACCGTGGCTGTGGCCCCAGCCGTGGAACAGCTGGGGCCACTGGGGTCGGTCTGCCGGCCACCTACACCCATCCCAGTTGCAAAAACAGCTTCATGGGGTTCAGCAGAATGACGTGGCAGCAGCTGTGGCGAGGGAACTCCTGGGAATTGGGCGACCAGATCGGCCTGCGCGCGCCATAGTTGACCAAGGTTTGACCAGGATTTACACATCTTGTTGCTTCGCATGTCGCTTCGAAACGTCGGCTGCTGCCTAGTGGGTTTGGCCAACGGCCATCTAGTCCAGTGTTGATTCACCAAGGTAAGCTAGGATGGAAGCTCCTCAAAAACGCATTCCAAACAGAGATGCTGATGCAAGACGGCTTTCGATGTTGGCGCATCTGACGCGTGTATTTTCAAAAGAAAGGAGCGGGAAACAAAGGGATGTGCCCTGAGCCCCAGAGGTCTGCAGATGACTGCGCCCGCAGGCAGGTCGCAGGTCAAGAGCCGTCCCATTCGCCGCAGACGGAACGGCCCGGCTGCCACAGCTGGCAGCCTTGGCCCCTTTGCTGCCGCGACTCGTGACGCCTCTGTCGCATGCACCCCATCCAAACCGCGCAGCTGGTGCGCCGCCCCGCTTGGCACCAAACCGCCCGGCCCCATCACGCAAGTGATGCGAAAAGCTGCGCATGGCGCCGCCACACGCGGCGTCACTCGATGACGTCACCGAGTGAGTGATGTCATCACACGTGCTGGATGGTGGCCTCCAGCAGCTCGTAGTAAGTGGGGAGGTCGGCGCCCTTGTTGGCCGGCATGCGGACCTGGGAGTGGGGCGAGAAGTTCGTTGTGAACATCGGGCGTCAACGAGTGACATGAAGATGTGGCGCTTTGAGGAGGCGCTGCACCAACAAATGCGGCCAGTCATTGTTGACTGAATCCTAAGCAGACACATGAATCGCTTCTGTTTCAGAATCCAAAACCTTATATAATCTGATTGCCATTCAATTCAGATGTCAGTTGCACTCCATTCAACCATCATTTCAAGTTCGAGCGCTTGGTGCGCTTTCGTGGAGGGCGCCGGCCGGGGGCCCCTCAGGCGGCAGCGGCATCTGAGTCCCGCTGCTCCCGCGCCACCGCGCCCCTACCAATCCCCAACGAACCCCCTCCATCCAACCCTTAAGAACCCCCAAACCCCCCCCCGTTCCTTGCTGATCATGCCTGGGTGCCTGCTCCTCCGCCGTAAAACCCCTACACTACTCCCCACCACAGCCCCCCTCCCTCCATCCAATAGCCACAACCCTGAACCCCCACCTGCGACTTCTCGCGCCCCTCGATGTCCGCCAGCCGCCGCTCCTCCGCCGCCGCGTCGCAGTCGATCCCCAGCAGGCTCTCCACCGCGACCACCAGCATCGCGTTGGCCCACCCAAACTCGGGGCGGCTGAAGGCCGCGGGGTTGTCGACGCTGACGGACTCATGCACGAGGCCGTTGCCGGCGGCCATCTGCAGGAGATCCTGCGGAAGACGGGCGGGCGGGGAGGGGGGTTGATTGGTGGGTGCGTTCGGGATGCAACTTATCGATGCTGCCTGTCAACAAGCCGGAGTCTGCTGCTCATGCATTGCGTAACTTCCCTGTAGCTGCTCACCTGCAGCAGCGACGCCTGCCTGGAGGCGTCCGACGTGGTCAGCGCCTCCACCGCGTGCGCCAGCGGCCACACGAACCGCGGGCTCGTGTGGGGCGACCCCAGGCCGGTCAGCTTCGGGCCGCTGAAGTAGAACCTGTTGCGGGGGCTGAAGATGCGCCGCCGCGTCGCCTCGTACACCTGGAGGTTGGGATTTTGCTATTTTTCAAAAGCCATGATGTGAGGATTGGGCGGTTTTGCTGTTCTCTGTTCGGTCTGGTGGGGGCGCTCGTGATTGAGTGCAGGAAGAATAGGGAAGCCACCCAATAGGCCGAGGCGGGCAAGGGCAGACGGCACCACCAGCGCAACCGATTGTGTGAGGTGCGGCACGCGCGCCGGCGGCCGTTTTGCGCTCCCATTGGGTACAGCGGAAATGCGCCCCGCCCGTGGCACAGGCAGGCGCCCCAGGGGCGGGATGGGGGTGTGCTTTCTGCGCTGTATTTAGCAGGCCAATGCCGTGTTTTGCGGGAGAAGAGAGAGAGAGAGAGAGAGAGAGAGAGAGAGAGAGAGAG